AGAACTTCTCTCCGTAGCACCGTGGATCGCAGCGAAAATACGCAATCTCTTCATTATCAATGAGCGCGTGTCGCTCGCAGGCACATGGAAGCACGGGTTCTTCAGCATGATCCCAGTGGGCGCCACGAACGTCGGCAGCATCGTGATTGACTTTGATTCGGAACTCAAAACGAACACACCGGACGTGCCCAGCGCCACCTTCCCGATCGGCACGTTCCGTGAGCGAGCCATGAACGTTGCGCTCGAGAAGGGAGATCCAGTGGGCGGATTCCGTCTTGGTTCGACAGTCGTGTTGGTCTTTGAGGCTCCTGAAGACTTTAAATTCGTAGTCAAAGATGGGGACGTCGTGAAGATGGGAACTCGACTTGGAAAATAGAGTTTTTTCTCCTTTTATGGCTGACAATTGCTATTTCACGCTCGAAGTAGGCGCTATATTTTTGTCGCCATTCGTGGGGGGGAAGGGAGGATAGTTGCCGCCGATGAGGCAACGGTGTTCAACATTTTCTGACATATTTTTTGCCCAATCACAACTCGCCACAGTCCTTGCAGATGACTCCTCTGGAGGAATGGTACTTTGAACTACCGATTGTGACTCGAATCTACATAACACTTGCGCTGGGAATGACACTCGTTTGCGTGAGTGCCGTGTTGTCTTTTGGTGTTTGGGGACGATTTGACTTACTGTGCGCCGCCTCAGCAACTGGATCTCGTGATGCCTTTCCAGATACACTACAACTACGACCTTGTGTTCAAGGGTGGTCAGTACTGGCGGCTTATCACAAGCTTTCTGTACTTCGGGGATCTGTCGATCGATTTTGTTTTCCATATGTTCTTTCTCGTTCGATACTTGCGCACTCTCGAGGAGGGCTATTTTCGAAATAGGACAGCAGACTTTGCGTGGATGCTGTTTCTTGCGATGCTCGCAATCACGGTACGTTCCGATCGGTTCTCTTCGAGAATCTGTTTCGCCAACGGTGCAACCCCGTAAACATTAACAACAAACAGACAATTGTGTCCACCATCGCACCTCGCTCTAATTCGGTTCCTTTCCTCTCATCGCCTTTGACGTTCACATTGATCTATCTGTGGAGTCGCACAAACGCACATCTCCAGCTGCACTTTTTCGGGCTTTTCGTGGTTTCAGCCATCTATCTTCCTTACCTGTTTCTTGGCTTTTCGGTGCTTTTGCACGGCGTATGGCCGACTGGTGATTTTGTCGGACTGGCAGTGGGACACCTGTACTATTTCCTCGACTTTGTGTGGGTGCGGGGCGGAAGTGGGGTGACTGTGGGTGGACGGCGATTGGAACGGCCGAGAGTAGTGCGGGCGCCCGAGATAGTGAAACAGATTGGCGAGGTTGTCAGTGGAATGTTCAGCCGGGATGGGGTGGTGCTGCCGCGGGGATTCGAGGCAGACAATGATACCGTGAATGGGGATGGGGCCGAGCAAGCTGAAGGAATCCTTGCGGGAGCGACAGGCGAATACGAGGTGTGGGACGGCGGGAGGGACGGTGCGCAGTGAGTGACGCGACGCGACGCGACGCGACGTGGGGAACTGCAACGCGCAGCAGTGGCCGGTGGGGGGCACGGCAGCACAGGGGGAGGACGGGGGACAGCGCAGACAGGCAACACGCACACGGTGCAAACGGCGAACGCACGGGTGTGTGTGCACACAATACATTTTCCACACGCCGACACACGCCGCCGAGGCTGTGCATGTTCACAGTCTGCAGCTGGCTGCTGACTGCTGGGTGCTGGCTGCTGTGATTGGGGCCGCGACGCGGTGCCCCGCCACCGGCGCCAGCCACAAGAAAACGCTGCAAAGTCCGCCCCAGGAAATTCTCCTTTTTCGCACGCTCCTTCCTTCGGATGTCCCCCATCGCCGCTCTTCCGCGTTTGGTGGCGAAGGCCGCCGCCGCCCCTGCAAAGGTGCGTTTGTGCATCCCTGTCGTTTGACCGCCCGGTTTTATCTCAATCGTCTGCCCGGCACCTTCGTCGTAATTAATCCTCCCGCCTTGTCTCGCTGTCTGTTTCGGAACCAGGCCGGCCACATCCGCTCCCTCGCTACCTTCGCCAGCCAGAAGGTCGCCATGTCCAATTTGGAGAAGGACAAGTTTATCAACTACCAGCGTATCGAGGACAACCTCAAGATTGTTCGTGATCGGTGAGTCTTTATCATTTGCCCTCCCTCCATCCAAAACATCGATCGCGATATGTACGTGTTTCTGATCCTTTATCGGCTCGAAATGCTCGCGTTTTCGCCTGTTTTTTTCTCCTTTTCCCCCCCTGTGATTTCGAGTGATAAGCAGTCCATTGTTTAAACTCTGTTTTCTTCTCAAGTCTCGGCCACCCCCTGACGCTCGCGGAAAAGATTGTGTACGGACACTTAGATGATGCCAAGAACCAGGACATTGCCCGTGGCTCTTCTTATCTCAAGCTCCGCCCCGATCGCGTTGCCTGTCAAGACGCAACGGCCCAGATGGCCCTTCTTCAGTTCATGTCGGCTGGTCTTCCATCCGTGGCAGTCCCGACGACTGTTCACTGCGACCATCTTATCGAAGCTCAGAAAGGCGGCGTTCCCGACTTGGCCAGAGCAAACGATATCAACAAGGAGGTTTACTCCTTCCTTTCGTCATGTTCACAGAAGTACAATATCGGTTTCTGGAAACCTGGATCTGGTATTATTCACCAAATCATTTTGGAAAACTACGCTTTTCCGGGAGGAATGATGATCGGAACGGACTCCCACACGCCAAATGCTGGTGGACTTGGCATGGTTGCCGTCGGTGTTGGTGGTGCTGATGCTGTGGATGTCATGGCCGGAATTCCTTGGGAACTGAAGTGCCCAAAAGTTATCGGTGTAAAGTTGACAGGAAAACTGAGCGGATGGACCACTCCAAAGGGTACTTTTATCACATGCATTGATACAGTACTCATCGTTTTTCAGACGTAATTCTGAAAGTTGCCGGAATCCTCACAGTGAAAGGAGGAACTGGAGCCATCGTCGAGTACTTTGGCCCTGGTGTGGACTCAATTTCTTGCACTGGAATGGCGACAATTTGCAACATGGGTGCTGAAATTGGTGCTACAACTTCTCTGTTCCCGTTCAACAACCGTATGGCTGATTACTTGCGTGCTACTAAACGTGAATCAATTGCCGATTACGCCAATGCTTTCAAGCACAACCTTGTTCCGGATGCTGGTGCCAAGTACGATCAAGTCATTGAGATTGACTTGAACACCCTTGAGCCACATGTGAATGGTCCTTTCACTCCCGACCTTGCCACCCCGTTGAGTCAATTCAAGGATGCTGTTATCAAGAACAACTGGCCCAAGGAACTCAAGGCTGGTCTCATAGGATCTTGCACAAACTCGTCTTACGAGGACATGTCTCGCTCTGCGTCTTTGGCTCAACAAGCTCTTGACGCAGGTATCCCTGCCAAGTCCCAGTTCATTGTCACACCTGGATCTGAGCAAATTAGGGCCACTATTGAGCGTGATGGTCAGGCTGAAGTCTTTGACAAGATTGGCGGAACTGTCCTGGCAAACGCCTGTGGACCATGTATTGGTCAGTGGGACCGTCAAGACGTCAAGAAGGGCGAGGCAAACTCCATTTTTATCTCTTACAACCGTAACTTTACTGGGCGTAACGATGCCAACCCAGCGACTCATGCCTTCGTTACTTCCCCGGAATTGGTCACTGCCATGGTGTTTGCGGGAGACTTAACATTCAACCCAATGACCGACACTCTGCAAGGCCCGAAAGGAACGTTCAAATTCGCTGCTCCAAGCGGAAACGAGCTTCCGCCTCGTGGATTTGACCCTGGTGTCGACACCTTCCAAGCACCACCTGCCAACCGTGATGCTGTCAAAGTCGAAGTGTCGCCAACTTCAGACAGATTGCAACTGCTTTCTCCATTTGCAAAGTTCGACTCCAAGAACTACCAGAACGTGGACATTCTCATCAAAGTTAAGGGCAAGTGCACAACCGACCATATTTCAATGGCCGGTCCTTGGTTGAAGTACCGTGGCCATTTGGACAACATTTCCAACAATATGCTCATCGGTGCAATTAACATTGAGAACGAAAAGGCCAACAGCGTATATAACAAATTGACCAACACGTTTGAGGCCGTTCCCAAGACTGCTCGTGACTATAAAGCATCTGGCAAGCCATGGGTTGTGATTGGTGATGAGAACTATGGTGAAGGTTCGTCTCGTGAACACGCTGCTTTGGAGGTCAGACACCTCGGAGGAGTTGCTGTTATTGTCAAGTCGTTCGCTCGCATTCACGGTAAGGACGAACTGGTGTATGGGCGAATCTCATAGTTTGGCACAGAAACCAACCTGAAGAAGCAAGGAATGCTTCCCTTGACATTTGCTGACCCCAAGGACTACGACAAAATCGACTCACGTGACACCGTCTCTATACTTGGGCTGGACAGCTTCGCCCCTGGCGTGCCGTTGACTTTGCGTGTGGCAAAAGCCAGTGGAAGCACTGTGGACATAAAGCTGAACCACACGTTCAACGAGGGGCAGATTGGATGGTTCAAGGCAGGATCGGCACTCAACCTCATGGCCGCCGCCTCCAAGGGAGCGCATTAAGATGAATTTGAGAAAAACAAAGTTGTGGTTGTTTTTGCAGTTTTGGTTTTGCAAAACTGAAGGCTCATCGAAGGAGCAGGCAGTAGTTTTTCGTTTTGCTCGGTTGAGGGCGTTGGGTTGATCTGTTACTCTTTTTTTTTTCTTTCTTTCTTTCGTTTTGTTTTTGCTGTTCCTCATGTTTGGTGTCAGTTCGATCTCATAAAGAAAGACCTCATGGTTAAAACCTTGCGTGGCGTAAAGCAGTCAGCGGTCGGTGCAAACTGCCAGTCGAATCAAGTTTCGAACCAAGTTTCTGAAGAAACACGTGGGTGCGTAATTTGATGCATTTCACTTGTGCATCGTGCGCATGGGGTTAAAATTACCGTAGATATACTAGTGAAATACTCAAAATTTCAAGCATTGCTAGTTTAGTGGCAAAATCACCGCCTCCCACGCGGTGGCCCCGGGTTCGATTCCCGGGCAATGCAATAATTTCAATTTGTTAGTCGTTTTAGGGTTTGGAACATGGTTCAGCTGGTGCTTGCTGTGTCTGTTGCAATTGTGTTTTGGCGGATACACTCAACGCTTGATCGTGGAAGCGAGTGATGTCCCATCTATCAATAATTCTGACACGAGTTATTTTATTCGAGAAATGCATTTTCGAATGGTGGACATCCAAGTCATCATAGACTCTGGACGATCAAACTGAATCAGCCAGGTATTGTCCACATAATCCTCCAAAAGTTTGTCCAAAGGCCCGCCGGTAGGAACGCGACCGTTTCCGCTTCCGCCGACGGACGAACGAGCGTATACTATGGATGCGGTCTCATCTTCGTCAAACGCATCGTCCTCGACAGCGCGGCCGGTACCGCTGGACGTCGCGGTCGGGTCGACGCGGCGGCCGGTGACCTTCAACACGTAGATGCCCGTCTCGCACACGTATGCCTCCGACATTGCCACGATCTTCAGGCAAGAAGTCGGGTGCCGCGCGAGCAGACGCGCCGAAAAGTATTTTGCCGGTGGTGGTGGCGGCGGCGACGCAGCAGTGGAGTAGGTATTTTCTGAACGTGGATCCGCCAGTCGCACGGCACCTCCGCTACGGCCGGTGGTATTGGTCGCGTTATCAGCGTCTGCGGCGGCCGCGGTGTCTGAGGCTTGGTACGGGCCGTTTCGGCCAAGCACTAGCGAGCTGAGAGAAGATGCTGTCATAATGCCTCGCGGCACGTGGAACAGATACAGCGTGTCCTTCTGCAAGACAAGGACAAAGTGGGACCATGCGGGCGTGATGCGCAGCCACGGCCGCCCCGTCGACGCAGTGCGCGGGAAATCGCCGTCGTTTGCGTTCGCCTGCTTTGCCTTTTCTCGCCGGATTATGCCGTACAGAGTGTCTGGAAGCGCCAGCATAGCGGACAGCGTCGCAGATCGGTTCGGAGAAGACGACGAACGTGCAGAGAGGAAGGGATATCTGAAGCTGGTGCTCGTCGACGGCGATGGGAGTGAAGGGTCGGGATCCAGGCCGCCGCCCGCGTCCGCGGATGCAAACAACAGCGAAGAGGAGGTGGTAGATAGGCCGGAATACACGGAGCCAGATCGGCTCACGGTTGGCGCCGGAGGCGGCAATGTAAGGATCGGGTTAGGTTGCGATCTCTGGCGGCCCATTAACAGCCCGCCGCCGCTGGCCTTAAGCTGAACGGGAGGAGACGCGGTATTCACCGGATTGCACGAGTAGACTGCACCATGGTCGTCTGGTGGCGCTTGCAGCAGCCACGATGGCGATGATTCGACTGGATACGACGCCATGAATCGATCACCTTCAGACGCAGGCTACTTTGTTGGAGATTGTGATCACCGCTTCGCGATGATTAATTGCTGCACTGGGATTGAAAGATATTCATTATTTTGATCATTCTTTTCTCGCAACCTGTGAACGACTGGCTATACAATATGGGTTCGGATCTGTGCATGTATGGATACCAAATATGCAGCACTCGGTAAATTATCCGGGCAAAGTTGTTTATGACCCCAATTGCACTTGTTGTTGTGGCTACCATTGCAGGATCCTGTAAATTTGGAGAGAAGTCGCCCGTGAGCACTGCTGTTATGCCGGTCTGAGGGAAACCTCAATCGAACCCTTGCGGTTGCTGCTGTTGTGAAAAAAAATTAGCCGTTTTGAATATTAACCAAAAAATGGAATTCATGAATTGTCCCGTTTTCTGAGATAGGGCTCGAATCAAGATCATTTTCGAACTTCAGTTTGAATGATTACATCCATAGTAACCTTGTTTACATTTCAGTATGTCGTCCAGGGTGGCACCGTAACCAAATTTTGGAAGCATTCCAGGCAATGAAAATATTACAGGTCAAGAAAGGGATTTGTTTTGTTAGCGTACAACAAGTCAAATTGTTACCGTGTTCACGCTAAGCCTTTTGGGCTTGAGTGAAGAGATTGCTTCGAGGGCAGAACCTGGTAATCGGCGCCAATGCTGCTGTTGTAATGAATAATGAAAACGGAGATGAGGACGAATCGCCAGTGGCGGTGTGTCCACGGTTTGCTGTTGGCGACACACTTACGGCCATTAAGCCTACATATCAATTCGGATGTCAAAATACTCAGAAACACATGTGCAGAGACTGGCATATTTGTTCTTTTTGTGATTGGACGCGATCTTGGGACAGATACTGACGAAACTTTGCATCGTTATCTTTCATATGGTGAGAGTGTGATGGAGTGGATGAAGTGCTTCCGAACTGAGATTCAGACCCTTCAGTGAAGAAAGCATCAGCGCAAAACAAAAACGCAACCGTATTTGCATTCAGGTGTCCGCTTGGACTGTCAATATAATCAAAATCTACAATCCACTGTCAAAACCGCTGTCAAAACTAAACGACCATATGCATCGCCCGCATGCCTTTTGACACGTTTGCTGTTTGCCGAAGGTCAAGAGGTCTGCCTCAACACATACGGGACGCAGGCGTGGAGCGCACGGGCATATGCAGCAGCCACATAGAAAAAGGACAAAACAGGTGAAGGATGCGCTTCCCGGTCTTTGCCGCGCTGCTCCTCGCCGCTTGCGCCGCCGCTGCCAACGCCCTCTCCGCATCGGTTTCCCTGGCCATTTCTGCTCGCGACGGCTCCGATCTGACCACCAAGACGTGCGTGCACGCAATGAACCGAATTCTCTTCCTCTTGCTGACCACAATCGTTCCCCCCCCCCCCTAAAAAAACAAAATAAAAACATGGTTGACGCAGGCTGTCCGTGCCGAAGAATTCACTCGCCGCTCCTTTAGTTGTCGGGGATGATGAAGCTCTGGCGTTGAGCGTTTCGATGGACGGCGGCAGCAAAGATGACCTTGTCTTTGCCCACTTTGTCCACACCGAGAAGAAGAAAGTACAGACGAGTTTCGTCCTCGAACGCGCTTCGAATGGAAAACTGTCGCTGAAACTGGTACGAAGAACATCCGTTAAGGCGGACCTTACAATTCACGTTTCTTTCCATCTTTCCATCGCACAGGACTTGGCCAAGAAAGGCGCATTCATCTTCAATACAATCAAGAGCAACCCTGGCGTCTACACCCTGTCGCTTCTTTCCACTGCCGACACTAAAGCTACTCTCAAGATCGGCAAGGTCCACTTTGATATTTCTCAAATGCCCGAAGCAACAATTCTTGGTGCCTCGGAGTCTTTCGAGCCCCTACCGGAAATTTACCACGTGTTTCGCAAGCCAGAACCGATGCCGAACAAAAATATATCGTACGCGTTCACTGCGCTTGTCGTTGGCGCCCCGTGGCTCTTAATGATTGTCTCGGTAAGTGCTTTTCAATTCATTCATTTGTATGAATAACTTCTTTTCCCCCGCTTGTTTGCCTCTAGTGGTTCGCAATGGGTGTGAATGTGTACGGCTTGTTTTTCACTGCCTCCAACTTTATCTGGGGCGTGGCGTTCCTTGTTTCCCTCGCCGGGTCGTGCGCATTCTTCGCCTTGTACTGGTACAAGCTCAACCTGTTCCAGCTCTTCGGTTATGGCAGTATTGTTTGGTCGGTTTTGGGGTTGCTTGGGCGGCAGGCGTTGATTGCTCGTGCGAGTTGGAGGTTGCGTGAGGAAAAGACAAAGGGAGCTGTGTCAAATTGATTTTGATTGTTGTGTTATGTTTTCTGAAGACGGCCCTGTATGAAGTCGCAAAACTGCTCAAGACATGCACTCTTCATCAAAAAGAGCTCTTGCTTCTTTTTATGGTTAAAAAAATTTCTCTTGGGCAAAACAGGTTTCTTGGAAACCACACGAAGAATAAAGAATAAAGAGAGCAACGCCGAAAAAATATACAACAGCTCACGAATTCACAAGCTGTCGTTCAAGATCCTCTCATACAACTCTTGTTTTCCACTGATAGCGGCCGGGGTGCCCACTTCCTTGGCGAAAGCCTCGAGTTCGACAAACGATGCTTTGCCAGACTCGACCTTTCTGCCCAGCGCCTCTGTCTCCCATGTGGCGTAGCGGGTTTTCCGCAAGGAGTCCAAGCGTCCATCTTCGATAAGCTTCGCGGCATTGAGTAAACCCTTCGCGAAAGTATCCATAGACCCAATGTGCGCGATGAAGACGTCTGAACACAGGCGTCAATCAACAAAAAAAGTAGTCGGTCTTATCACCTTCCAAGTCTGTGGATTCGCGACGGACTTTGCAGTCAAAGTTCATTCCTCCAGTTGTGAAACCTCCCATATCAATTATGGCTTTCATAACCAACGTGGCCTTGCGCTCATCCATCAAAAACTGGTCTGTTGTTTGCTTTGAGATACGAACAGATACTTTCAGGAGCAGTTATTGCACCTGTGTCCCAGCCCAGGAGTTCGTCACCAGTGTTGCAGTCCACTGATCCAAGCTTGCCGTATGCAGCTGCAATGACGATGTCGTGCTCGTACGAGTGTCCCGCGAGGGTTGTGTGGTTTGGCTCGATGTTGAGCATGAAATGGTCGTCTGTCCGTTTATGTCAGACAATACAGCAATTGCATCTTAAATGCTTCACCAAGATTGTAGTGCTTCAAAAAGCACATAACCGTTTGAGCGTCGTAGTCGTACTGCATGATTTTGACATTGAGTCACGAAAAAGAAAAACAACCGAATTTGTACGAACTTGGTGCTTTGTTGGTTCCTTCGGCTTTGGCTCGATATAAAAGGTAAAGCTGGCACCAATGGCAGCTTTGTGCGCAACTGCCATGTGAAAAAATGCTGCCATGTGGTCCAACTCCTTCTTCATGTCCGTGTTCAACAAGGATTGGTAACCCTCGCGGCCGCCCCAGAACACGTATCCTTCGCCACCAAGCTTGTGCGTGACTTCCATGGCTTTCTTCACCTGAGCGCAAGCTTGGGCATAGATTCTCACGTCTGGGTGCCAGGATGTTCAACAGAATTCAGAAATAAATCTGGAAAAGGTGCCACCGACCTGGGTTTGTGGCACCACCACAAGCATACTTTGGAGCAGAAAAGAGGTTGGCA